AATCGTAGTCAGCTGATTTTCCTTGGGAAACCCAAAGATGGAAAATATGCCCGGAGTGCGCAGTCTTTTTAAACATGACATCATCATGAGAGAATTGTAGCGACCAAATATCTAACGAGACAGGTGACCAAATAGACTTCTTAAAATAGTTTCCAGGAAATGTTTATAAGCATTTAATTTTTTGCTACATGCATCTCACATTGTTTCAATTTTTATCAAGCGAAATGTTCTGCGTTCAGATTTGGACTTGATATACCAGGGGACAGTAGACAGGGGACGGGACAGGAGACAGGGGATTAAAACAGACTGTGTAAAACGCTTTAAGAGGCCTTTTATCTCAGGTCTTAGGTTCAAGCTCACATAAGTTCCTTATGGCTGGCTGCGTCGCCAGACATGGGAGGATTATCTCTATTGCTGAGTGCATGATGAACTGCAGGGAAAGACATTTACACCGCGGACAACATGATCCCGTCAAATAATCATGAACGGCGCATTCGACAAACTATACGCCCATATTTGAGCAGGGGCCAAACTTGGCACTGTCCTGATCCTTCACCCCGTAGGCCGAATTGTAAGCCGCTTACAATTACTCCAGAAGGTTGACAGACTTCTAGAGAAGGAAAAAATCACAGAGGGGTGTCGCTGCTGCCGGACGTAATAAAGCAAGAAAAATGAAACAAACGGAAATACCTATATACTTTTGGCGTACGTTTGCAAATTGAGCTAACCGGGTGGGGTGTCGCTATCTTTGTTTTTGGGGGGCACGTTTCTGGGCAGCGTCATCTGGTAGGGAGCTCCCCTTGGCGTATGAGAATATTGGCCAGATTAACTGCATGCAATGGTGATGGAAAGCGATGTGACATATACCTTTCCCATCATGATATGTATGCAGCTACAAGAGCGGCCGAACTGAACGCCGTGACATATTCTAAGCATAACTTTGACTTATTTTGCGAGCTCAAATGCATGGGCGTAACCGAATCTATCATACACGTCGCTCTCAACGCCTGTGACAGCCTTGCATTGTGCCTTACATATAGGGCCGATTAATTATGCCTGGCCCAGACATTATGATAAACTGTGCTCACGCTGTGCTCGCCGCGTATCCTTTGAGCCTGAGCACAACTGACTGCTTCTTTAAAGGAATATTAAACAGGACTTGATTGTCGAAGCTTCGTTCGATCAGCTGTGTTGTATTTATAACAGGCGGCAGCCTGTGGTAAGAAGCCTACACCACGACTCTGTTCAGGCTTGCATGGCCGAGATTGCGCTGTAAATACCCAATCACTTGTGGGGCAAGTCAGAACATAAACAAGTAACACAGTAAAATCCCTCTCTGACACCGATATCCCAGTCTGCTCTGTTATCAAGCTCGCATCATAAAGTGACCCTCCATTGTTGCCTCGTTCGATACGGTTGGCCCAAGTGAAATGCCGGTCCATTTATGTAAGTAGGTCGCGACTCGAGGTGCCTCTCTCCCCCTCGCTGTGCTGGTTGGCACCGCCTGACGGATCTGGCCGTGCTGGTCGGCACCAGGCGTGCGTCTCGTGCCGAGATCGGACTCGACGCGCGGCCCCAGTGAGCCACACGTGTGCACCGTGGGCGCGGGTCACTCAACGCTAGCTGAGATGCTGCACCGCACTGATCTTCCAAGTAGCTGCGAGGCGAAACGAGACCAGTTATTCATGGCTTAACTGTTTACATAAGGTTGCAAACTATGCGTCACATACGGTAGGTGCGACACGTGACGTTGCACGGTGGAATAATGGGCTGCAGCTTGGGGAAGGCGTCTGGCAATGAGGAGCGGGCCTCTGGCTCATAACACTGTAAATCATGTAAATGAAAATGCACGCTGCCGAATTGACGGCGCTGAGTACAGGGCTTGTTAAAAGCCTATAATTCTCAGATAACGTATGTATCGTGCTTTTTGTGCGCACAATTTGGGTGTATCTTGACTGTCTAGCTTGACTCTTGGCCTTCGAATTTCAGCGTCGCGGCATCCGTAGCTGAGCAATGACACTCGATCAGACGGACCCTTGACATGTTGTCTTCGTGTACGTCAATTCGCGATTGTCATTCGCCTGAATTTGTGCACCGCTGGTAACATCGGATACCATCCGCGCTCGCATTAAAGGATATGGAGGTCCGCGGCACTGCACTGTGCATACGCATCTCACGTCTGACCTCTCTAACGGATACATACTTAGGCCAGCCGGCTAATGGTGTATTTCAGATGCCTGCGTGGTCTCGGGATGCGTCATTCAGATTTTCACATTCCGCATGCATTCAGATGTTCACATTCCGCATGCATAATTGCTTTTCACACGTTTGCAGGCTGTTGTTGGTCGCTGGTATCGTTCCCACCCATGGTGTGTTTTTTTACTTTTAGAGATTGTGTAAGGATGCCTGTTGCAGATACTGAACATTCACGAAGGCTTAAATCTGTTGAGCGCAGCCCCGTAGAATATGATGACCACTCCACGTTAAGACAACCTGTCAACCGCACCCTCTCCTGGAGTATGCATTTGGACATTATCTGGTTGCTTGGAAAAGCGAGACAGTGTGCTGTCGTCTCGGAATCACTTTTTGTTTCCGTAGATGCTCCTTTTCCTTTCAAGGGCAGAGCAGACTTGGTTCAGCACCTCGGTGTCTTGGAAAGAGATGATCTCATGTCTGATGAACGTAACAGTCTGAACAAACCCAAATAACTTAAAAGGCACGGCTCATGGCCGGGTCCGTCTCAAAATCTCCTTTAGAGGGAACTGCTGGGGATGTAATGTCCAAGTAGTTAGCGCCTTCCACTTCCACACAGGGACACAGCCTAAAACCCCGTTTGCGCCATAACCCCTGAACCTTTTACTGGCTGGCGCTCCAACAAAGGGTGCGTGATGACGTGCACCACGTTCCCGTTGTTATATATAAGGAACGTAAAAATGCTGAGGTCTCAACTTCTAAGTGAAAGCTAGAAAGTGAGAGCCTGATAAAAAGTGATGGGTACGTAAAGTCTAAATCAAGGCGAGGTTAGTAAAACATTTAGAAATATTCCCAATCAACTGCTGACGTGTTCCCATACCTGAGTGAGACCTGCCTCGCATCTGAGGCCCGGCGCGTCCGGTGATGCCGCTGATTGAGCTGTGGCTGGCGCAGGCCAGATGTTAACGCCGGGAAATGTCCCCAATCGTCATAGAAACAAGGACAGTGTTTGGCTTCTAATTGCTTTCCAATTAACGTTTCTTCGGCAGTTATCTAAAAGTCGGAAGACGTGTGTAATCGGCGTGCCCGTTGGTCCTCTTCGATGCGGCCGGTTGCGGCGAAAGCGGAGGATTTTTCCCACTGTCGCGCGCGCCGGCACCCACAGTCGGGCAGCGGGCTCATTGTCAATGGATCTGGCGATCAACGCATCCGGGTCGCGACGCCTGACACTGTCGGAGACCGGTCCGCTCCGCCTGACACTGTCGGAGACCGGTCCGCTCCCTGCCGACACCGGCCTGTCGGCCTCCGCTGCTGCCACCTACCGCCCGAACGACGAAAACCGCCGAACTGCAGGTCCCTTGCCAGACAAAACACGTGAATAGATGTGTGTTGGAACTAGAGTTATTCTGAAATCGTGCACCTGGTGCGGAAAATTGACAGAAGAAGTAGCAACGCGGTGCATGGCTCATAAAAGGGCAGTCAGGAGCTTGTCGCTTTCCTACTGACAATGTTGCAAACGACTCAGGGATAACACGTACGGTTTTGCTAACGAAGGGCTATATATGAAGCTGAAGTCAACATGTGCCAAAAATTCAAATGGGTGTGCAGTTTCACAGCCCGGATTGCTCACTTCCACGCGAGGGAGACGCGCTGGTGCCAAGTGACGTCACTGATCCCTACCATAGTGTTGTCACGAGACCAGTACATGCTCAACAGTCAAACGTTCACACATGTCTCACATGCGGCATGTCCTGGTTTGATCCAAATGCAGCATTTTTTAAAATCCCAAATGCAGCATCAACGGCACAGTGTGCCCCAGTCGTTCATGGCAGAGTGCAGCTTGTTCAAAACTGTTGGTAGCGATGGGGAAGGTTTCTTTCCGTCAAGTCTGTGGTTTCATCGCTTTGAAAGGATGTGTCTGGAGAACATTCCCTGCTGCGAATTTAGGGTGCGTTTTGAAACTTAAGGGTCGAGGACAGAAACCAGCAGGTGGATTTCCGGAGAGGGACGGGGGTCGCTCGCAACTGTACATCCCCTCTTCATGGGTTCCGCCACAGGGGCACGAGACCACTAAATTTTGCGTGAGTCAACATCATGCTATTTACATATATACAGCGGCTTGCCTCTGACACGGACACCAATGGTTGGTCTTTTTAAAAGGCTCTTATCAAATGGTGCCATCTGACGACACGGTCCGCGATTGCTTACCTCGGCGACAGTATTGCGGCGCCATGCAGCATAATCAGAGGGTTTAATCTCCACGAATATTGAAATAGTACATCACTTTTGCGTGAGAGCGAATTGAGGGGACCGTGTCTTGAGTCATCGAGTAGTCGGCAGTGCGTTGGTTATTTCAAAACGCCCACTGAACATCGGATTGACGCGAACCATTTTCGGCGAGGTATTTGCAGAGGTTCGAGATCGGATTTCCTCGCGCTGCGTCAGCGGGCTAACGCAGTCTTGTCAGTCTGCCACTGTAGAAAGCAACGAGCTGCACCGGCAAAGCCGCATAATTTCATCACCACCAGCTCGAGGCGTGACCCATCTGCTCACGGCCTAGCAGCGTTTCAAGACCGGGCCAACCGTGCTGCCGGCCCAGGGTTATCGCGCTTTTCACGTACATACTCCGCCTCCGCCGCCGGAGAGGGCTGGCGGTCGCCTAAGCACCGTCCTGTGGTCTGTAATTCGGCTGTGTACCTCCTGTGGTCCGCCACCTCTGACTGTCGGTCCCCTGTCCGCAGAGAGGTCTGCCGCTGTGTCCATGCTCCGGTCCGCCGCCTCTGACTGTCGGTCCCCCCTGTCCGCAGAGAAGGCCGAACGTCGCCTGACAGCGCCCCAGACGTACGAGATACGGCCGCTGCCCTGCACCAGCGCCAAAGGCGAAAACGGCACTTGCATGTTCAACTTCAAGTGCTACCAGCACAACGGTCTGGTCATCGATACGTGCATAGACCGGTTCATGTTCGGCGCGTGCTGTAAGCTGGACCCGAGTCAGCTGACAGTGGCGCAGGTGGTGGCAGGCGCGGCCACCACGGCCGCGCCCACGGGCCTGGTCACGTGGTCATCGGTGACCTCCGCTGGCCCAGGTGGTCTCGATCACCGGACGCCACCGACGACAGCCACCACTACCACCAAACCTACCACGCCCAAGACGAAGAAGACGGTGAAGACGACGCCCAAGAAAACGACGACGACCACCACCACGACGACCACGACAACGACGAAGAAGCCGACGACGAAGAAGCCGACGACGAAGAAGCCGACGACGAAGAAGACAACGACGACGACGACGACCACAACAACCACGACGACGAAAAAACCGACCCGGAAATGGGACTACAAGAAGCGTGAGTATTTCTTACTCTGAGTATGATAACTGATCGGTCGGGCATGTATTGTGCCCACCAAGCCTGGTGTCTCATATAGTCCAGCACATGTAAAATGAGCGTAGACGTTCAGGCACCCCTTACTACCAAATAACAGGGATGCGGGCGGATAAGGTAAAAACACTCGCTTTCTGATGATACGGATGTGGCAATGGGGTGACTAGGTAGACCTTGGTAACGTTTTATGGTTTATAGTCAGTATTTCGTGGCTAACGCCACATATGATGCTGCTCCCCCTGGAGCATCTCGGAAGCCAGCGCACATGTCCCTCACGTCTGCTGCTCAACCGTCCCCTATTCCAGTGCACACAAGTTCTCTTCCCTGAGTCATGCCCGCCCCGAACACCCACCAACGCCACTTGGCGTTGCCTATTTCATTTGCACTTGAGGATCCATGAACTCAGTCAGTCAGCCGTTCACACAAGAAGCGCGTGCGCAGCGGCGCGTGCGTACGGCCGGTCCCTGCCCCTCACTTCAGGCGCCGCGTCGCGCCGTGTGGCCGCCGGCCCGCCTCCTCTGACGCGCGGCCTTCTCCCCGCATCGGACAGACTGCGGCGTGATCCCGCTGGCGTCCGGCCGCAGCGCCGGCCGGCGGGCCGCCGCGGCGGCGCGGCAGCTGACGTCGACAGACCGGCGGCGCCAGGGCCTGCGCATCGTCGGCGGCGAGCCGGCCTACTTCGGCGCCTGGCCCTGGCAGGTGATGGTCAAGGAGGCCACCTTCCTCGGCCTCTTCACCAAGAACAAGTGCGGCGGCGTGCTGCTCAACAGCAAATACGTGCTGACGGCCGCTCACTGCCAGCCCGGGTGAGTTGTGGCGGTGGGCAGCTGCGAGGGGTGGACAGCTGTCGTGACGAGGCCTGAAGCCTGCGCTTTGTCGTGGCGGGGAGGTCTGACTTTTTATAACTACAGTAAAGCCGAAACTGGCCAGCGTTTGGCCAGCTAAGTCTGACTGCAACGTCAGGGAAGTGTACGCTGTCCACCTGTGTTTGCGGTAAGCACCACCTCACCGCCCGGATCACGGTGGCCCGAACACCGCTGACCCCCCCCCCCCCCCTCCCCCACGGCAGGTTCCTGGCCACCCTGATCGCGGTGTTCGGAGAGCTCGACCTGAGCGCCACCTACGAGCCCAAGAGCTCGTACCAGCGCAATATCCGGCGCATCGTCGTGCACAAGGGCTTCAACGCGCAGACCTTCGACAACGACCTGGCGCTGCTCGAGATGGAGAAGGCCGTCACCTTCGACGAGCACATTGTGCCCATCTGCCTGCCGGCGGCGTCCGAGGTGTTCGAGGGCCGCATGGCCACTGTCACCGGCTGGGGACGCACCTCGTACGGTACGACACCACTCGTCGCTGCTGGATGGAGAACGAGTAGTGCGGGGGCTGGGTTCCAGCGACTGGGTGTGGCCGAGCTCGGTGCTGGCTGTTCCAAGACGTGGGCCGATGCTTGCTGCAGTCAGGCAGAGAAAACACGCGCGGCCATACGTTAGCAGCACGAGGGAGGCAACGCGGCGTGAGGTGCTCAGGGGTTTCCTAACGTCTCATCTTTTGGACTTCACGATAATTAGGCGTCTTTTATGTAAGATGTGGCATGATGGAGCCCCGCATTTAATCTCGTTTGTCAATATGGCGCATTATCTATATAATTCGCCTATTATTATAATTGGGGGAGGAAGATTACATTGGCGGCTCCAAGAGGGACGTCCCAGAGCAAATTGTTGCCCTCAATTGAACACAAACAATGTGTTATTTGCACAATGCTTCTCGCACGCACGCAACGCCGACCCGTTTCCCTTACTTTCAGGTCAATTTGTTTGGGATTTTGGCATTTCAGACATCACTGATGTAGAGTCAATACCGTATGAAACATGCCAAAATTGCTTCTAGTCATACGATGTAGATTCTACGCCAGCCAGTCAAGTCAGTCATGAAACAGGAACGACGCAATAATTAGGTAGCGTTTAAGTAGACAAGTAGCACTGCAACGACTGTGTAGCGTTTAAGTAGACAGGTAATACGTTTAGCCTTGGTCGAATTCAGGCACTTGACAGTTGGTCAGCTCTGGTGACTCCTCGCCGCCGTCACCTATGCGCCCCGTCTGCCCGCGTACCTGACCTCGTTACCGCCGCAGGTGGGGACGTGCCCTCCAAGCTGATGGAAGTCGGCGTGCGGATCATCACCAACGAACAGTGTCAAGCCTGGTTCGATGAGTCGGGCCGCAGCAAGAAAATTCGCGACGGCTTCCTGTGCGCCGGCTACAAGAACGGCGTGATGGACTCATGCGAGGTTGGGCACACCGCCTATCGGTGCCAGAGCCAGAGCCTGACTCTGGCTTTGGCAGTAGCTGTGACTATGTTTCCAGGCCGGCAGCATAAGCACAGCTGTTGGGTAGTGTTGTCAACAAGAGTCCGTGACAGTCGTTTAGATACCTGCTCATATTTGGACCAATGAAGCGCGTATTTGTCTGAACTGAATTTGTATTTGTCTTGATGTGCCCCTGGATTGACTGACGTTCAATTTACGCTTCCACGTTAGGCATACCGGTGGCAAGGTATGAAATTGTCGGGATTGCCATTGTCGCCCGGTTCTCACTGCCTTGGTCGCTGCAAACGTAAAAACGCTGGCCTGCATAGTGGAAGCTGACATGACCGGCAAAGTGACCCGATGCGCCATCCGCTGACCGCGCCTCTTCACGAGCGCCACTGACACGCCTCCGCACGTGCTTTGCAGGGCGACTCGGGCGGCCCGCTGGTGGTGCCGCAGGCCGACGGCCGCTGGGTGCTGGCCGGCACCGTGTCGCACGGCATTGAGTGCGCCCAGCCCAACCTGCCCGGCATCTACATGCGCATGCCCTACTACAGAGACTGGATCGACAAGCACATAAACAGCTAATGGCTGGCGGGCGGACGGCCGCCGGCCGGGAGTGAGCGCGCGATGGGGCGCCGGGCGCGCCGACGCGACGGCGAGCGCGCCAGCTCGGCCGCCCGGCCGGGACGCGGCGGGCCGGCGCGGACCCGCGCAGCGCGAGGCTGCGCGGGTCCGTTGGACGAGCGTTGGACGAGTCCGTTGGACGAGCGCGCGCAGTGTCGAGGGCCGGACAGGCGGCGGTGCGGTGGACGGCGCCCCGCCGGACCGATGCAGGCCGCCGGCCGCCGCTCAGAGCAAGTCTTTCCGTCGTGCGCGTTGAGCGGACGCAGCTAGCGGGTCGGGGCGCCTGGCGCGGCGGCGAGCTCGGCCGCGCGGCGCCGGTGAGGAGCGGCTCAGCTGAACGACACGTGACCGAGCGAGAGAGCCTCGTGCGGCCCGAGGCGTCGCCGTCGGGGTCCGGCGGCAGTGAGGACTCGCCCCCGGCGCCGGCCGCAGGGACCATGCGCAGCGCGACGCGCGGGCCGCGGCCGTGTGCAGAGTCGGCGCGGCGGCGGGTGTCGCGCCAGGCTCCGTCGTCCCGCAGGCCAGACGGCGGCGTGGCAGGCCGGCCGCCCGCGCCGACCCAATCAAACCGATGTCCTGCGCGCAGCCACGTGTCAAGGTGCCAAGCGATTAGCGCGTGACGGAGGGAGCCCCGTTGTTGGGTGGAGAGGGCGGACTGGCAGTGCGGCCGGCACCCGTCGGCCCATTACTAATTTACCGTTTGTTATCCCAGTGAACTACCACCCTGCTAACTGTGGCTTTGTTACCGAGTAAACGAGAACGAACGGCCAGCGTGTCTGACCCGGCATGTGAGTGGCCCCCGGTGACGGCTCAATTTCGGCAGCGTGATGGATGAGGAGGCGCGGTACTCTCCGGCGCTCCGCCCACCGAGGCCGCCAGCGCCTCCCCGTCTGGTGGAGATTGGCCGTCAGCCCCATCAGGCGGGCTCTGTTTTCTGTTCTGCCCAGTGAAGTTCGGTAGCCGCTGTTGCATATGAGTGACCGTCGTACTGGTGAACAGAGACCGGCTGTGTGCCTCCAGTGTCTATACTGTCGAGCGTAGACCCTCCGTCAAGTGATTTGGCAACCAGGAAGCCACCGTTTGGTGAACACAAAGGCCGCGTGAACTTTGGCGAAGCCGTTCTCCAGCTCGACCGTGGCTAAATGGAACACAACGAGAGAGCAATGCTTGGGCATTACTTGGATTGCCCTAGTCCCGTTAACCACCTGACATGTACATGACATTTAAAGGCGGAGGCTTCAGCCCCAGAACCTTGAAGGTCTCTGTGCTTAGCGATTATAGATTATATGTATTGGTTGATCGCAGATTGGGTGCAACTCAACTTAGCGGCACACGATATCGGCATGAATGACGCTCCCTTGCTATCTGGGGGTCTTCTCGGTGGTTGGGACTATTGGGCAAAGGCGATAAAAGGTACAAAAACCGCTGGCCTCAACGCATCAACGCCAGAAAACGGCCGTGCATTGGCCCAGAGACGCGCCAATGGGGACTTTTGGCTGGTTCTCAAGAGCTGCATTACATGAGCCCCGCAAAAATTTCGTTCATCGATGATGTAGTGGCCCTGGCGCCGTGCTGTCGCGGACAGCCCGCAGTCAGTCAACGCAAGCTACTTTTTTGCAAAAATCAGCACATCAGATGTTTTCGCACACTTTGCGTGACACGATAGCGCAACCATTGGGACGGTGGAATAACCGAGGTGAGGACATCCCCGTCCAACCCCCAACCACCTCAAGGCGGACGTGCAGGATCCTAGTCAGTCGGCGATCACGCTGCTCCAACGCCAAGTGTGTGCGGCTCCCTACGCGCCAAAGCCAAGCTAATGTGGCAGCCTTTGGTCGAAGGATGCTCTCGCAGGACCGGCGATATTTCGAAAAGTCATCGGTCTGCCCTGGCCCCGTGATGCCGTCGCAGTTGTTTAATTTTATGCGATTTTCATTGTATTATATATGCAGTCATTTCATCCACAATTTAGCGATGGAACTGAGAGTCAGTCGGGGCTGCTCGCCGCCGTTTGTGTCCTCCGATCAGTCCAAAGCCATGGGCAAAATGATCCGTCAGCGACGCGTTATGACATTCGCTGAACTGGTGCGTGTACTGTCCTCATCTCCATACAACGAGCAAGACAAGGCAAGGCAAGAGGAGACAAGGTTGAATTGACACAGCCGGCATTCCGATGAGCAAGAAAGCACTTCCAACGTTGGTGATGGCCAAGCATAAAAGTGCACAGCACAGCACTGCAAATGAATTCAATGAAAGAAGGCAAAACTAAGCACTAATGTCGAACAGAAAGACATTTGAGTGCAGCGTTCTGTTCCAAGCACCTTTTAAAACATACAAAGATCCGGAGGCAATGCAAGGCATCAAGGTGGCCAAATGATTATGGATGAACAATGATTCTCACACAACATACAAATCCGTAGTCGTCCAAAGGTTCTGGGATGTCCCTATCGATCCATTGTGAAAATGTATCCCAGGCGCCCTTGCGGCTTAACCCACAATGCAGTGGACGGTCACTGGCACTGCAGTAATGCCAAACCAAAGAACAACCCAGCGAACACCAGGCACACACCTCTAAGTTAGCGTGAAAATGTGATAGCTCAGGGTACCTTGGTCTCATCTTCACAACAGTGAGTTTTGCAAGACCGCAGATAGGCAACCACTTAGCAGGAAATATCGAATATGATTCTCACTCACGCTGCTCCCTATATTCTTCCACGATTTCGCTGGGCGCGGCAAGTATGCCCTTGAAGTGAAATAACATTATGAGGAGCATTATTTGTAGCAAACCTCAAGCTGATGATACGACTTGTTGGCCACAGCTGCGATGATTTCGAGTGTATCCAGGCTTTATGTAACGGGATAATTTTGATCTCAGGAAAAGCACGTACAGTGAACCGCACACACCTGTCACTTCACGACTCCATCCACGCGCAGCGCAAAACAGTATGAGAACCGCCGCACGATGCCCCGGTCGATGTGCACAAAAGAAGTCGTAGGTTTGTACACATGTATGAGGTGAACCGCTGTTCATTTTGTTATTTCGACCTGTCAACTGATTATGAACGGTTAACAATTTGAATGAATAGCTCGAGAAACAAGTGATACTTGCGACCACTCGCGAAGGTAATTTAGGCGCCCAGCTTCGCGTCTTCCTATCAAAAAGCAGTGGGGACGCAGCAAGAGTGTTGGTGGGAGGGGGCGGGGGGGGGGGGGGCGGTCACAAGGTTGACAAAGGATCATTGATGGCGGAGGACCCTCCCCCATAACGTTATCACCGTATTTCACCTGTTTGATTTCGAGGGGTACGATTTTTTCTTTTTATCTTAGTTTTCACTTTCTGTAATTGAAACAGAAAGCAGAAGCTCCCGGAAGATGTAATTCTCTTCTCTTTTTGAAGTCAATAAACTGAGGGACGAAGGCATGAAATGAATGCATGAAAAAAGCCGCCGGTTCTACTCATTGTACGATGGTTCAGTGGGCTCGTTCTGTAGCTATAGCACTCCAGATGCGGATAATAATAGATATTCAAGATGCTGAGGATCCCGTAACCGTAGAACGTGGGTGGAGATGGCTTTAAAACATTGTATTGGCGTGGCCAAGCCAATTTCGTCTGGGAGTATTCCACTGTCCTTCCGAACGAAGAACTGAAAAAGTCATACAACATCCTTTTTAACATGCGCCCTCACAAGCCTTGAAACGAAACACACGACGCCCGGCGTTGCAGTCTCCATGGGCAGCGCGGCGTGGACTCCGTGGTCGACATTGTGCGGCGGCCAACGGACGGACGAAAACAATGGCGGATCTACCAGAGGTACCTTTGAACTCTTAAGAACGGGAATCTGTACGACGGCAGTTTGGGGGCATATTTCACCCGCGGAATTTTCATATTGATGAACGGTACGAACTAGCATTTACAACACCGCCGTGCGATGTTGGAATGTGGTGATACAGCTGGAAAAGTAAATATAGAATCTCTAGTTTTCCTGTTGCTGTTTCTAGTGAAAAGTCAACCAAAACAATTCACAGATAGAATATTTATCTCGGTCTTATCTTTTAATGGCACAAATCGATTTCGAAAGACTTACGGATGCATTATTTCATGCCCACCGTTTTCGCGCGCCAGTCGCCCGTCGCCCGGTGTTAGCTGCCACGGTCAACGCCGCTCGGTTTGATGGAAACCGCAACCCCTGACATCGGTTTCTTGCTCCCAAAATTGCGATTGTGCATACCCACAGATTTATGGCATTTTTTACCAGCCAATTTTTAGGTAGAATAGGCGTCCTCGTTTTGGGATTTTAGTGGTGCAATAATCTGCGCCGCTGCTAAGCCACCCCTGGATGTTCGTAAGCCGACGGTTGCCGCTGTCCACGCCTCCCCACAAGAACGAATTTGTATTAAGTAGCCCATTGGTCAGCATACGAGCCAAACGATGTTAGCGCACGACCTGGCACGTTGTGACTCCGGTACATCCGAGATCAACACGCACTCATGTAAGCCACAAAGCTGGGATGAAGCGGGTGACCGGGACTTTGGCGGGATGGTAGGTTCGGTCGGGCACCATGGACGGCTGTATCCCTGTGCATGGGACTGGCATATCATATGCGGATATAGCGTAAGTCCCCGTGCTGTCTCCCGTGTGTGTAGGGAGCCCCCTTAACCGCGGCACCCCACCTCCATCTTTTTACCGGAGGATAGCATTTCAACGGAGCAAAAACGAAACCAGATGCATTGATAATGCGCCCAAATTGGCAGGGATCCCACGCAGCCGGCGAATAACATTGACAAGGGCCCGCTGAAAAACAACCTGGGAGCCTCCCCCTCCCCCACGGCCTTAACTAATCCACACAGACTTCACACGTTCGGCACCCCACCACAATCACTTCAAGCACAGACATCCGCTGGTGCCCACTTCACTCCACTCATTCTTGGCTCGCACGGCCGGGCCGGCCTGCGCTGCTTCCAGGGCACGGCCCCCAGCGTGCCTCTGGGCCAGATCTCGGGGGTGGCGTCGCCGGCGATGGTGCAAGCCCCGTCCGCTCTCGCCGCTGACGGCTCCTGTGCGTCCCCCTCTGGCCCAGTTTTCACGTGGGGTGGCGCTTGTGATGCCAACTGGAGTGACAGCGGCGCCGGCGCTGCCGGGTTCTCGGGACGGAGCGGCAAGCATCTTCACAACATGCCAGACAAACATTCCTGGGCATGTTGTTTCGCCGGTGATCTGGCTCCCGCGTCCATTAGCGATGACGTGATGGACCATTTCGGAAGATGGGGCCGCCGCAATGACCGTTCCGGGGGGAGGGACGGCGGCTTATCCACCTGGCCGGGCCACACACACACGGTTTCTCCACGCAGAATCAGTCAACCGCTGGTGCAGCTTTGTTGATGCGGGCCGATCGGCTGGAGCGGCGGACCAATCCACATTCATCTCTCGGCCATAACGGTTGTGTTTGGCGCGGCAGCGGGATTCCAGACCACGGCCATCTTGCTTGCTGACCCCACTCCGCCGGGAAGCCCCACCGATCCCAGACGGGCGGCGTCGAAAATGAAACGTTGGCAAATGAATGCCTGCATTTTCAGGAAACACCGGCTGGCCCTCTTTCACTTTTGACCGTATTATAATCCACCCTATTGAGCACTAAGAAGAACCCTTCTCTTTTCCGGATAAAGGGCTAGTGGATAGAACGCTAGGGGCACATCTTTCCCGGTCAGGGGCTGAAAGGTCATTGCATTCCAGCGCGGGATGCCTACCGGCTGCCATTCTGGTGACACGGGACGGAGTCGAGGATGATTTATTTCTCTTAGAAAGATAAATTACACATTGGTACCCTCCCTAACGCGCGAGGCCCTCCGAATAGGGAAGTTGGCTCTAGGTCGACGCGGGGCCCTCATTGACACAAAAATATCACTCATCGCCGCAGCAGGTGCAATAGTAGGCACAACTTGCCTAGTTTGGCTCAACGGGTCCATGTCTGAAATAGGGCGGAGGGCCCCCGTTAAGCACTGTGGCCTCTGACTGACACAGGGCCCTTCAATGGTCTCATTGTTGACTCTCATCGTAAGTTCTCGTATTTATTTAATTATCAGGGGGCCCCAACGTTTGCAAGAGGCCTTTTGGCATTCAGGGGCACGGCCCTGTCCCTGTTCAGCAAATGTTCCCCTGGCCGACTCAGGGCCCCTGGCTGACGCAGGACCTCCGGTTAGGCCCTGTGCGCACCTGACTGACACAAGAGTCCCTCGTTGCTTCAGTGGCCCGACCAATGCCTTGTCCTTGTTTAGGAAATAGGAAACGGAATGGACTGTTCGGTGTTGGCGGTCTTTGGCTGAAGTAGAGACTCGCACTGTCCCAGAGGTCCCCAATCGATGCAAGAATTCATCTGACTAACATTTGAGAGCCAGACTCTACGGGCCGGGCCCTCAGTGTGACCGACAGTCAGCCCTTCTGGTCCTCTAATCGGGCCTTGACCACCGGTCCCAAGGATCCTTTCGGGCCCAATAATTTTAATGTTTCCGAAAGCCCACACGTGTTTTGCGAGCGCCAGAACATGCATCCCTCATGGTGCTTTGCCTGCTCGCGCATACGGCCTGGCTTAATCACTTCATGTACACAAGTCTAAGAGCTACACGATAACGATGTTCCTTGGCCTCTTGACCTCAGTAGCCACATTCGTCGCGGTACATTTTTACGGACAGTTGCTTGCGATAGTGTTACATGCCGGTGACGCCGTGTGTTTACTTTCCCTTGGTTTCTGACATATTTAATTCCCATTCCGATACTCATTATACTTAGGTATCCAATTAAGAACACAGCTGAAGTGTTCTCTTACTCTTGCTTTCTAGATTGGTGTCGAGTTCTTTCCACTTGCTCGGAGGACCACATGCTGGTCCTGGGGCTCATACGAGGTACGGTGCCGAGCCACGCGATGCTCAGGGACCCTCTTCTTTGAACTAGAGCTCTTCTCCTTTCATCTCATTTGCGGAGAGCTATTCATTCTTACTGGGATCCTTTCTTTTAACCTGCCCCGGCGCTCTTGATCGCAAAGGGGCATTAATTCATGACATTGGTCTTCAGCATTTTTTTTTTTGCTCAGAAGTCTCTTTGATCTGGCCGGGGTCCTATATGTTAACCTGCCGAGGCACTACAGATCGTTCAGGGGCCCGCCACGTTGGTCTTGGGTTCTTTTTGCTTGCTCTAAAGACCCCATACTTGCTGACGGGAGCCTCTTTGTTGCCCCCCCCCCCCCCCCCCCCAGCACCCATGACCGCTCAAGGTCCGTCCCTATTGGCTTTAGTGCTTTAGCCTACATATATATATATACATATATACACATATATGTATACGCATATGTACTAATTTCGTTTTTTGATGACAAGCTGACGATTGTCGTCACCTGGTATGCCCTTCGCCTTCAGACGGTGGATATAGGCATAGATAAGCATTCACTTCACTGTTTCTTTTGGTGGTCGCAGTATTTTATATTATCATTGAAGGACGATGTTCTCGTCTACCGCGCCATTTCTAGGATCTTCAGCGTTTTACAATCGCTGATCGGAGGTGCGGGCTGGACCTGCGTTCTGGCCAAAAATAAGAATGGAGAACGCGCTTTCTTGACATTTAACATAGTCGTTTTCACAGCAATACCCGTTTTCACGCGATTTAGCCCCGCTGTTGGTGTGTCGGTTCATTTTGGCATCTATGAGCGACGGGGATGCGAGTCGTTCCCTCGGGCGTCATTCTTGTTATATTTATGAATTTTTCCTGCACCTCCTGTACTTATTTTTACCATCAAAGTTCGTCCACAAAAACAGTAATATATTGCTCCAATTGATGAGGACTGATGTGTGTGGTACTGCTTTGAAAAACTCATGGATATGGTCAAAGCTGGGTTATGTTCAGACATTGGCATTTGGTATTCTAGTTTACTGTGGTATGCTGTCTGCTTTAATGGCTATCATCATCCATTAATTATATTATGTTTTGAACTTGAATGGAGAAGGGAAGTTTGACAGTGCATAGCTGAGACTGCACAAATGGCATGCCACTCTGAACATGTCTGGTATGGCTAAGGACATTGTAGCAATGACTTCATACATGTACACTAAATCCCAATGGCTCAGCATTTGGTGATTGGTCACAATCAATCCAATCTTTGAGTTCACTGCATAGAGAGTCAGTGTTTTCTGGAATTGTATATGCCCCACAGTGTATTTCAGACAGACTTCTAAAAGTAATCACTTCACTGATTATTTTAATTGCAAAATTCAAAGCAGTGCAGCATGGCCTAACTTTGTGCATGTCAGCAAAGGTTTAGTGCACCTATGTGTCATTGGCAAGGACAAAGCAAATGGTTTTCATACATTGGTTCATAGGCAACACATAAGAATGGGAGAGGGTGGTATTGTCAGTATAGGTATGACTTGCTAAAATGCTCCAGATTAACTAAATGTAGTATGAAACAGTCTTGATATCAGTAAGTGCATTGCTATTTTTTCTTGCTTTAAGCCCCTTATTTCAGCCTTTGGTATCATTTAATTACAATGCATAGGATTTAACCTTACTCCTATTACTAGCCCAGCTTGAATTAACTGGCACATACATCTGGGATGTGGCTTAAAGCTGATTATATACAAATGACAGAGATAAGAAACACTTTCAGCTGATTGCATGGTGATGTCTTAAAGTGCAGAATCACCACTGGCCTGGTAGTAGTGTTGTACAGGACCATAACCAAATATTGGAAAGAGGCATAAAAGTAACTCACAAGTAGTGAGTGTGGCAACAAGTGGTGTTGGGTCCAACAAAATCAGCACCTTGTGGTGATGCCATGGTCATCCATATATACTGCTTGTAGACTTTTTGCAAAACAGTGCAGATAGTGAAGTTAGTTCATTTGCAAGGTGCTACAATTCTGTATATTATGATCTGTATAGTAAACATTGCCAGAATTATTTTGTTTTTATGTAGTTTTGTAATATGCTACAATTCTGTATCATGATGTGCATAGTATACACCACCAGAGTGATTTTGATCTTTATGTGTCTCAGGAAAGAGAAGGTGACAAGCTATGAGTGACAGCTTGGGTGCTGGCCTTGATGGTGTAGCAGATCCACAGCTGAGGAGATTTATTGAAGGAGAGACTCACAAGCAAAAATTCCAGGTAAATACAGGCTTCAAATTGAGTGCAGCAAGTATCAATTTATCACATGGCAAATGGTGTTCAGCTGAATCATGATAAAAATTTGGAGCTTTTAAGCTTTGAGTCAGTGGAAAACATCTTGAAATGTGTGAATGGGCAGCACAGTTTTTGTTTGGTAAACCAGACCAGCATACATGTGACATATTTTATGTTCATTTTAGGTACTATTTGTTTTTTACTAGAGGTCATCATCACTAAGTTGTCGACAGCACCAAATCATTGCTCTTGAATGCTATTGTGATGTTTCTAAGGCCTGAGTGGGCTCATGAAGACATAAATGCTTGTATATCAAGGAAAATCATGCTTAAGATGCAAGTTGTTGCATGTGTTGGAAGCACTAGCATGGAACAGTTCATTCTAGTATTGAGTTCATTTCCAGGAGGTTATCTATGGTTAGGGCATATTGGAATGATATCAGTTGTTCTCATTTTCAGTCTAAAATAATGCCTTCTTAATGAAAGCTAGTGTTCACTGTATGCTGGCATGCTTTTAAACATGAGCCAATGTTGGTGTTGTTATCAGGTAGTGCTCCAGGTTGTATGTGGTGTTCTAACTTACCTTGGGTGCTAATACTGACATCTCTAGCTTGATGGTGAATGTTATGATGTTTGCATTTCACTGTGTCAGTTAAGGTGAATCCTTGCAGCACCAGGGTGAATGCAGAAGTGGCCAGCTTCCTCAGCTCTGATAGGTGGCCTAAGGAATGCTTGGACTAGACTGGAAATGATGCAAGATTGCACACTTATGTTAGAACCACCTTGTTTTGTTTAGTGGATAGACTGTGCATAATATTCCTGGCATGCGCTTGATTAAAAACCTGCTTCATAGACATCACTGCAAGCAAACCAACCCATAAATCAATGTCATTGTGAAGGACCAGACATGTTGTATTGATTCACATGTATTGCAACACAATACCTAGAACACACCCACTTTTCCATCAGCATGCAAAACATCCATGCCATAGATGTGTCAGACCAACCATGCATACCCATAAATTCTGTGCAGCCTATTGACTCTAAGGTACATTGCCTAGTAACCCATGTTTCTGATCTGTACTTTGTGGCCCAAATAATGGAGATAACTAAGCTGTTGGGAAGCAGTAAGCATCAATACACAGCTAGCGAACAGGAGCAGCTTAGAACCCAGGTGCCATTAAGTTTCACAGCATGTTTTGTGCCTTGTCCCGGTCGCCTGGCTGTGTGCACTGGCCACGCCCTGTCGATGGCTGACGTCACGAGCGTGACGTCATGCGCGGCTTGCGGGCAGGTGCTGGTGCACGGGCTGACGGACCAGTGCTGGGACAAGTGCATGGTGGACCGGCCCAGCACGCGGCTCGACAACAAGACCGAGACGTGCCTAGTCAACTGCGTCGACCGCTTCCTCGACGCCTCCAACTACATCATCAACCGCATGGAGAAGACGGCCGGGCTGGAGCTCGCCGCGCCCGCCACCCCCGATTTCATGCGTGACTAGTCGCCGTGCGGCCGTAGTCTGCGTGTAGTGACGTAGCGCCGCTGTCTGCCGACCACCGGCGTGCGCCGCCATGTTCTCCCGGCTGCGTGGGTTCGTGCGGAGGCACCGCTACAAGCTGGCGGTGGTGGGCGCGCTGGGCGGCGCCGCCTACCTGCTCAAGTGGTATGCGGAGCGCCGGCTGCGCGAGTGGGGCGACGGCGAGTCGCAGCGCATGCTCGACAAGGTCAAGAAGCAGGCGCACTTCGAGAGCACGCGCGCCACGTGCGCCGCCAGCCTGAGCCAGCTGGCGCCGCGCCTGCTCAGTCAGCTGACGCGCCTGCTGGACTCGGACGCGCCGCTGGAGGCGCTGCGCACGGGCGCGCCGAACAAGCTGCAGATGTGGCGCGAGCTGAAGCGCCTGGCGCTGCAGCGCGTGGTGGTCTCCGTGTACGGCGCCGCCTACCTGGTGGTGCTGCTACAGGTGCAGGTGCACGCGCTCGGCGGCTGCCTGTACGTGGACAGCGTGCGCCGGCTGCTGGGCGAGCCGACGGTCGAGCCGCTGGACGAGGCGGCGCAGGAGCGCTGCCTGGCCAGCATCGAGCACCTGCTCACCGCCGGCCTGCAGCGGCTGACCGACGAACTGGCGCCGCTGCTGGCGCCGCTGGCCGACGCGCTGGCGCTCACCGACCGGCTCGGCCTGGAGGGAGTGGAGGCTCTGCTCTGGCGCGCCAAGTCGGAGCTGGACGAGCGGTCGCACGTGCGGCTGGCGCGCTACGCGCTGCCGGAGCCGGCCGAGGCCGACGGCGCGAGTGCAGCAGCCGCACCGCCCACCGGCCGGCTGGCCCAGCTGGCGGCCGAGACGCGCGACCTGCTCGACACGGCCGAGACGGAGGCACTCGTGCGAGAGTGCGTGCAGGCCGGCTTCGCGCACGTGCTGGACCAGCTGGTGCCGGCGTTCGTCGGCCAGGGCGGCGGCGGCGACGGGTTCGTGGCGCCGAACGCGGCCACCCTGCCCGTGGCCAAGCTGGTGCCGGCACTGACCAACCTGCCGCACGCGCTGCTGCGCACTGGACCCGACTCGCTGCCCTGGCTGCTGGCGAACCACCACAAGGTGCAAGTGCTGGCTGCTAACGTGTACGAAAGCTTCAGCGAGGTGACGCCGTGAGAGTGCGGCGCGGCCGCTCCGGTGGCGGCTGTCATTGCAGCCGAGCCGGCGTGGTGAGCTCATAGCTGCGTTCAGTCATGCGGCCCGGACGAAGAGGGGTTATGGTTGCTCTATCGGACCACAGTCACGCCGTGTCACTTTTTACAGTGTGTGGCACGGGCGAATCCTGTGTGGTTGACGATGGGAATTATCAGTTATCACGTTGGGGTGGTGTATGTATGATCTTTTAATATATGCCAGATTCTGAAGGTTATCTGCAGCGAACGCTGTTCAACAAAGTGAAACGTGTTGCAGTGTGTGCCTTCTGGAGGAGCGCACATGTCGCAAATGCAGATCCGGAAATTTTCGTGCCAAATTTTCCACACCTGAATGTCCGTTCACTGTACTGAAGGTATCGGTATGGTGAGATAACCGTCTTCCATCCTGCTGGCCGGGAGTGGCTTGGTTGTCCGTCTCAGGCACAGAGGTGGACCGCGCTGATCCGTCCCTGCATCCATACGCTCCCATCGTCAAGGAGACGCGCGCCGTCAACGTGGCTCTTGTAGGCGGCCCTGTGGTCGGGCCTGGCTCAGAGACAGCACGCTGGTAATTGTTATCGAATGTGCGCTGGAGCAATATGCAAACGTTTGGGGCTAACATCACTTGGACAATTCCAATGCGCTGCAGAGCCCCCCCCCCCCCCCCCCGGGCAAGGGAAAACCTGTGTCGCGTGTTGATCAGAGCGTTATAATCGACTGTCGGCGTGATATGCGTATGGAATATGTAAGTCATGAATAATTTTAGTTTGCGGACGTACGTCCCTGAAATAGATTTCAACTTAATCCAGTACTAGTGGTATCTCCCACTCATCCAAGTTTACGGAACGGTCCATTGCGTTGCTCCAGCATCTTAACGTAGGATCGTCCAGTCCCATGGTTACATAGCACAAGTCGACGAAATTAGCGACGGAACTAAAATGTCCTAGAGCTGACATTGACAAGTCACGCACTTGTCCAGGTCTACTCATTGACGCAGATGCCGGGTCTTAGACGTGGGGAACGCGCCACGTCTGAGTCAGGTTGAAATAGATGCGGGGGCTGCGCCACCAGGTGTGGTGTGGGGGGGGGGGGGGGGCTGGAGTGCAGTCGCCCTCTTACCATTGGCTGTGGGAGTACAATCTTTTGGCCCCCTGAAAATCCCGGGGGCCCGCGATGACCAAGACGTAACATGTAATAAAATCAAAGAAAGGGGGAGGGCTCTCAAAGTGTGCGGGAGGCAACATCGGCCGCATGAGGGCCCCCAGGTGGCATACAGATTTTACGGGCTGATAAGAGCCCCCAGGTGATTATAAAAAAAACTCAGATGCAACGAATGTCTCATGAAGAGCACAGAAAGCCGAGAAGGTCCTATTTAGAAGGACCGGGGATCCCGCTAGGTCAACAGGTTGTTTTTAATAAGGCACATTAAAACAGTCCTTTTGAGAAGTGGGCGAAGTCCGGTGAAATTTGTTTAGTCGAGGGATGGGATATGATGGTTTAAGATCTGTTTATGAGGCTCCCAAAGCTGTTTAAGAGACGCACGGTTCTGCTTACCGCTCCCTCGGAAAAGGTCGGTGCGCCTCCACTGGCGGCCTGTGCTGCGCCCCGCTGGGGGATGGAGCGTGCAGCCCTTTCCCGTCCGGTGAGCGTTCACATTGGAGGCGGTTTGATTTCAAATTTATTTTGGAAGGAGAAGTGATGAGTACAAATTCTGAAGAGGAGTGAACCTTTCTGTCATGTTGCACCCGGCGAGTCTGGTTAGGCGCCATTTCAAATACACAGGACATGCACCGAAAGGCAGAAGGGTGCATGAGAGGGAAAACAACACGGGCTCCTGCTCGCCCCTTTTGCGCAATAGCACGTGACTAATGTTACTTTGCCAAGCTTGGGTCAAAGTAAAATTAATCGGCCTGTCTCCACTCTCCTCGGCCCCAATCAGCCGCTCCTGATCCACGGTCACAAGCAGTGATCCTGCCATACAAATGAGGTTCGACACCTGGTCTGCGCCATTCTTGGATGCGACAATATGAACCAGACAGGGTTGACGGTCTAACTGTTTTGATATGTTCATTGTTTGCCCAGTAGCGGTGCATTACTCCTTTTCCGGCGTCATCTGGTTACCTCGATTGACATTGCTGTTTTCCATGGGCCCCGAGTGGTGAAGTGAAACCTCACAAAAAGTTTAATATATCATGTGTATCGGTGTTTTCGGGCACGCCAACTAGATAGGCTATTTTGCACTCGCGATTGTTCTAAGTGTATGTGTATTTTACGCGTATTTTGCACCTTTGGTTATTTCAAATGTGTTCGTGTTCAAAAGCCGACGACCGCCTGGTCCCGTGCCGTCGGCTCCCAGCATCCAAACATCACGGGCACCACAGCTGGAAGCCCGCCTCCGGGGACTCCCGCAGTAAGAGTGCAGCACTCTCGCACGACAGACGAGTGACCCCGCGACGGCTGACGCGTCGTGCGGTTCAGGCCGGGCTCGTAGCGGACGCCGAGGCCGCGGGTCTCGCGCTGTCGTCCGCTGACGGGCCCGTGGTTTGAGGCGCCGGTGCACTGGTGTCGAGCGAAACGACCCTCGGCGGCCGGGCTCGAGGCCCGTGCTGCGGAGCGCCTTGAACCAGGGCGCCCCGCCGCATTGCTCTGATTTTCCCTCCGGTGCGGCGCAACGCCCGCTCCAGAATGCCTTGCGCCCAGTGCCGTCGGCTTCCACGTGGCCCAGTGGCGCCAAGCTCCGTGACGGCCTGCCGGCCACTCACAAAGCCACACGCAACATTACGATAATATAAAAATGTATTAATAAAATGGCTTTTGGCTTTTTAGCACACTTTCATAAAAACAAACACCAGTTTGTACAAACAAAATAGCGAACAATACAAAATGTTTAGCCTCATCGGAGGTTCGCTCCAGCAACACTTATGAGTAAGGCTCGCCATCCGGCACATAGCTGCTTTGGACAAGTCTCGCTGTCGTAGCAATAAATAACAACGGGGGACGCGGTGCGAGAGGGTCGGGGTTCGGGAGCCGGGCGGGGCCGGAGCCGGCGGACAGAGCTGGCACTGGGCAGGTCGGATCGGTCCGCCGGCCGCGGCCCGGCGCCGGCGGCCCGGCCGGCACCTGCGCGGCGCCCGGCCGGGCCCCTGGACGTGTCCGGGGTCCGCGCGCGCCTCTCGCACCCTGCACGGCGTGTAGGGGCGAGAGCACCGCGGACGGCAACGAGCAACACAAAATCACTTGGCGACTAGTACGGCGGGCGTGTAACAAATAGCACCTCACAAAGCGGACACTCGACGCCACGATGTAAAACATGATTGGTGGGCTGGACGTCGGCGGCGCGCCGACACGGCGGTATCAAACACTAGCCAAGCGATACGTGCGGACGGGGGGACGGGGGGCGGTTTGGCACTGGCGCCGCTCTGCCTGCGGGCGACGCGACTGGAATGTGGCGGCGGCGGCTCGACCAGCGAGCAGCCGGCCCGGACGGGACGCGCGCGGTCGGCGCCGGCCCCGAGCAGGAGCCTGCCGGCACAGGGGCACGCGAGTGTGTCAGTCACAAGGCGCCCGCGTCACCTCCGTCTCCAGCAAGTCATGATGCAAAAACTCATGATCAGAATCATCACTTGATACGGACGGAACCTCCATATGCGTCACATGAAACAACTGAAGACCCAAATTATCATTCAACGCACACCGAACTCGTTTCTGCTTCTACCAAACAGCTCACAATCCGAATCACCACCTGCCACCAACATCGAGCACCGGCCTGAACCGCCGCCGTCCAGACGCCGCCACCCGGCGCCACCCTCGTCGGAGCCCCCCCCCCCCCCCCCGGACGGCGGCGCGCCCTCACCTGCGGTCAGTCGCCCCTGAGCAACTCGAACAGGATGTCGAAGGTGGGGCCGTCGGAGGCGCTGCGCGACGCGATCAGCTCCTTGCCCAGCTGGCAGGCGCGCTCCACGTCGGGAATGCGCAGCAGCAGCTCGCCGAACTTGCTCGGCATCTCAGGCGAGTGCGACATCGTGTACTGCTGCAGCGCCTGCAGCACCTGCTCGCGCGACGCCGACACCTTGTGCGGCTCCTTCAGCACCGAAGGGTCTGGGGAGGGGGACAGCGGGTCACACGCGGCTCCTTCAGCACCGATGGGTCTGAGGGGGGGGGGAGGACAGTGTGTCACATGCGGTTTCCCCAGCACCGACGGGTCTGAGGGACGGGGGCAGCGGGTCACACGCGGCTCCTTCAGCACCGACGGGTCCGGGGGAGGGGGACAGCGGGTCACACGCGGCCCCCTCAGCACCGATGGGTCTGGGGGGGAGGGACAGTGGGTCACATGCGGTTTCCTCAGCACCGACGGGTCTGAGGGAGGGGTGTCACATGCAGCTCCCTCAGCACCGAAGGGTCTGAGGGCGGGGTCACACGCGGCTCATTCAGCGGCGACGGGTCTGAGGGAGTGGGACAAGGGATTACACGCGGTTCCTTGAGCACAGACGGAGAGGGGGAGGGACAGTGGGTCACATGCGGTTTCCTCAGCACCGACGGGTCTGAGGGAGGGGTGTCACATGCAGCTCCCTCAGCACCGAAGGGTCTGAGGGCGGGGTCACACGCGGCTCATTCAGCGGCGACGGGTCTGAGGGAGTGGGACAAGGGATTACACGCGGTTCCTTGAGCACAGACGGAGAGGGGGGGGGGGCAAGGGGTCCCACGCGGCTCCTCCAGCACCGACGCGTCTGAGGGAGGGGGACAGCGGGTCACGCGCGGCTCGTTCAGCACCGATGGGTCCGAGACAGGGGGACGGCGGGTCACACGCGGCTCCCTCAGCACCAAGCACCAGCACGGGGGACAGGTGGTTTAACGAGACCCTGACACCTTGGACGGCCCGTTCACCGGCCGACAGGCTTGCATGGGGCGAGGGCCGGCCACGCGGCGCTGCGGCGACACAAGAGACACCGCTGAAGGAACGGCAAAGGACCGCGGCGGCTATCCTGCCGATGTCACTGAATCGAAACAAGACGTATGCGATCTGCGATGGGCGACTTTGACCTGGAAACCCCAGAGCAAGACGAGCTCGGTTCCATCAGAGCGTAATACCCAACGCGCTGCCGCCTATTCATTTCGTTGTCATTTTTAGTACACTTAGCCATCAGCGCTCATAGCGTAGCCACTTCTTCCGCTCCTTCAAGGGATTGTACGTATTGTACATTGTATTGCATGATTGACAATGCACTAGATTGACCCGAGACGGGAACAGCTGTCCAGATTGGTATCAGACTACCGGTTTTACTGGTCCAAGAGATGCACCGACATGTGCGATTGCGACCACCAGCCTCATCAAACTCCACTGAAATACGGTGTGTCCGGAGTTTTCCGAGGCCCTTCTTCATTTTTGTTCTGCGGCTTCTAAGTAACTGTCTCTCGGCTGCCGGTGTTCACGTTGCTCCGTATGATGGTGACGCCCAGGTACAGGTGCCAGGCAGCGGCCAACTGACAACTTTAGAAGACGTACTTAACAATGTGGAGCTTAGCCTAGCTTCTCTGCATACATGCTTCCGAGGGAATCACATTAACGTCATCATAAACTGCATTTCATTAAAAAAAAACATTGAAAAATTCATCTCACATTTCTTCTTTTCGGGTAAGCTTACTGCTTCCTGAAGCCACTCAATGCGCGCAATTTCTTCACTCATCAACTATACTTTGAACTGTCGGGGAGCTAGACCTGAAAATTACACTGGGCTACCAGCTGACTGTGGTTTAGAATCGCTTTCTCTCTTTAAATCGGCACATCCCTTGGTAAAATGTGGTAGAAACCTTGGTAAAAACTTCTCAGACAGTCATTTTCAGCCTCAACACATTTGGTTGCATCTGACCCGCGGGTAGATCCGGAGCAGCCTCCGGGTCTAGCTTCCTTAGGTCCCACAAGACGGCACACGCTCACGACATAACTCCGTAAGACGAGCCGCGGACACCGTTCGTCCTGTCCCCCAGCTACCACGAGCTGCGAGGCGGCCACCCACGCCGGACCCACCAGCAGGATCACCGTCACCACCCCGCTGCGCTGCCACAGCATACCGGCAGAGGGTGCCGACAGTGTAGAGGTTGACGCGTCTGCGTTAATCACTGCGCGTCTGGGAAACCAGAGGTTCCGAGTTCGATTCCTTGCGGTGCCCGCCCTTCCTGCCTGGGCGAGAAGCAGGCGACGCCATACAGCCGCAGCAGCTGAGTGCGCCGTAAAGCCCCAATGACGACGGCAGGCCGGCAGCAGACGTCTTTAGGAGATCCGATACTGTAGAAGCCCTCCCGCCACTAGTATGTAGACCTTTTGCTGTATCCTTTCTAAGTCCCGTGCTTAGTCACGGAATACCCGAAGAAAGTTCAGCGCGATGCCTCACGAAAGGGCACTTCTGTCGTCCCCCGACACCCCCTGGCGCGACACATCCTGGTGTTCGTCGGCCGGCCAGCCGCGGGGAAGCCCCGGCGTCGAGCCACTGCCGCCGCGTCCTTGGGCGGACACCCCAGCGGCGGACCACCCCAGCATCACGACCCAGGCGCGGCGGCGTGACACCCCCTCCCCGTGCGACGCGCCCTCCCCCGCGGCTTACTCCAGAGCGGGACGACCAACAGGATACGCACCGCTAGATCACATCAATACCTGACAAAAGATGAAGAGCTTGCGTTCCGTACAGTTCAGATCATGCGCACACATATGCCTTTGTGTAAACAAAGGCCCACACGCCAAACGCATCTGTCCACGGTTTGCTCCTGCATCTCCACATCACGCACCACACCACCTCCTGAGAGCCGGGCTGCCTGGGAGCGACAGCCGAGCAGCCAGGCGGTCGACTCACCGCCGCTGGAGGAGAGCAGCACGATGACTTTGAGCGCGATGTACTCGTAGTAGTCGACCTTGAGCCGGCGCAGCTGCTCGGTCAGGCCGATCATCCGCTCTATACAGCGGCCCACGCCTGCGGCGAGACGCCGGTCAGGCCGCGGCCGCGCCGGACGGGGCGCACGGACACACACGCAGCGGGTCACGCGGTGCACGGGCGTCACACAACGGAACACATTCCGGCCGCGTCACACCGTGGCTGAGCCTCCAGCAGGTCCGCTCGAGACAGATGCGTCGCTCGCAGCGTTGGCGCGTGCCGACACGGCGGCCGGCCGGGCGGGATCCGTACCGATGGCGTTGGCCTCCTGCACGCCGAGCGAGCGCCCGTGCGATATCCGGATGTGGCCAGGCGTCTCCAGCGAGCGGAAGCAGCAGGTGAGCAGCAGCAGCTGACACCAGGTGTTGATGAGCAGCGCCGTCTGGTCGTCAATCTAGCGGACACGCGCGCGCGTGCACACATCGGGCACGGTTAGCGAGACACCGTCACCGACGCACACATCGGGAGGCGAGAGGCGAGCGAGACGGCACGGTCGGCACCAGGGCACGGCACAGCCCGGAGGAGACAGCCGGCAGTTACCACCGAAGCATCACAGAGCCATTGAGGTACGGTTAAATGACAACACGACATACTCAGAAGGAAAGGCGACGATCAACACAACGTTGGACGTCCATCGTCACATTCACAGGCAGAGGGAAACAGCGATCTGGCACGACCTGACACAAGCCAGTGGCAGGCACCAGCCGGGGGCGCCGCCGCACTCCCGTAGCGAGCCGGAGACACAGCGACAACACAGGCTGGTCAAGGACCAGGTCCGGAAACAAGCGCAGCACACGGCAACGGAGACGGGCAACAAGAGCCGCTCCACGTCAGGACGTGTCTCCCAGACGATTTACGACGCACCCTCAGTCCCTTCGACAGACGGCTCGGCGACAGTAGGGCACTGGGCCACGAACAAGGCGCGACTCTCGTGATGCCAGGCATTATGCAGATTGGATAAATTAGGCCCCGGCCGGCTCACCGCTCAAACCCGAGACGGTGCGCCCGAGGAGGCATCGCCAGCAGCCCTCTCGCCGACGACAGGGGCTGACGGCGCGACGCAGTCTAAGCCGGTCGGTGCGGCCAAGAACGGCGCCGCCGCGGGGCTGCCCGTGACCCGGGCGCTACAGGTCCCATTGGCTGCCGTGTTGAGCCGTGGGCGCGGTAAGTCCGGCACGTTTTAATTACGAGGTTCGCCGCTCAGATATCCGGGCCGGTGGGAAGCCCGCGCCGACGCCGGCGGCGAGCGCCCGCTCCCCCTCTTTCCCGGGCAGAGCCCCGGAGCGGCGCACACACGACCTACAGGCGCGTCCCATCAGCCGAGCGGGGCTTACATGGATGTTCTTGAAGAGCGGCAGGCTCTTGCACCACTTGACGATCTTGTAGAGCCGGTGGTCAGCGATGTTGCAGAGGCTGTTGTAGTCGCCGGCGCCGGCTGCGGCGGCGGCGGCGGCAGCCAGCCCGGACGGCTGCGAGGAGGCCGGCGACGGCACGCTGTCCGCCGGCGACGGATGCCACAGGTGCTCCACCTCCATGATTTGCTGCGGCGGAGGGCGCGGCCCACGGTCACGCACGAGCTCCCCGGCACCGGGTGCGCCAGCTCCGCAGCATCGGCAGCACGGCCACCGCAGCGACCGCGCGCAAAAATGCGGCGAGGCTCATCGCATGCACCGCCGGCAAAAGAAAGAACTGACAACGAGCACACAAAGCAGTTTTGAAACAATAGTCACTGACCGAAAATCACAAACAAAGCAATGCGCAGTGCGCGACCGTCCCGAATGACGCCACCCCCGCCACCCAGGCATCTGTAACAATTTCCGGCAGTCACGCGGCAAAACGGTCGCCGACTGGGCGCAGCCGGCGCCCCACTGGAGACCACGCGAGGTCGCCACAAGGTCGGCACAGGCCACTCCCGGTGCCGCGGCGCACCCCGACCACAGACGGCCCGCTCGGGGGCCGCGGAGCAGCGACGCCAATCTACCCAGCACACGCGCTGACGCATCAACAAGATGCTGGCCAGATTGCAGATGAGGCCGCCGCCAAAAATGGCCACGCCGACACGGCCCGGCCGCAGATCGCTGTCGCAAATCCTCCCGGGAGCTCTCTAAATATGGCTCCGTCGACCATTTGCATGAGGCGTCCGAGAAGCAAACCCGTTTTGGGATCCGAGCACGGCGGGACTCCATTCAAACAACACGAAACGCGCACGCTGCATCCTTTCAGGACGAACCGCAGGCATCGGGCAATTTTTGCTACTTAATTACGTCAAGGACACGGGACTGAATAGCCGTGGGTTCGCAATGGTGAACCCGGACCTCCATTAACAGGAACCCCGCTCCGTCGTGTAATGATCTGGGACAACACTACTTGTTACATACCCCGAACAGCTTCTACAGCACTATCGAGAAAGGAGTTTCTCCAAGCATCGAGATAATTGATAGCCGCGGATCGGCCCGAGCCCAGCGAGCAGAGCCAGCCTGACGACGTCTACCTGTGGGACTGCACGAGTGGCCTGGGCACAGTGAACACGGACGGACTGGGTGTCGTGAAGACGGACGGAATGGGCACCGTGAAAACGAACGGACTGGGTACCGTGAACACAAACGAACTGGGTGTCGTGAAGACGGACGGAATGGGCACCGTGAACACGGACGGACTGGATACCGTGAACACGGACAGACCGGATACCGTGAACACGGACGGACTGGATACGGTGAACACGGACGGACTGGATACCGTGAGCACAGACGGATTGGATACGGTGAACACGGACGGACTGGATACGGTGAACACGGACGGCATCTGCGCCCTGGAGCTGAACCGGCTGGGCCCCGCCGCGTACCCTGAGAATGGGCACAGCCGGGCTTAATCCTGCGAAAAGCGACCGAGTCTGATGTTAACCGTGACTGGGGGCGGCGCAGACCCGACCACGATCTGAGTCACGACGCCGCTGCCGCCGCCGTCTCGTCAGCGGCAGCCGCGGCAGGCTCGACCGACCGCACCGAGCAGCGGCGGCCACCCAGAGCGGCGCGCGCGCGCTGCGGCCGTACCTTGAGCAGGGGCGGCGTGGCGGGCCGGCCGTCGGCGCCGTTCGTCTCGGCCGGCTCCAGCTTCACGTGCGGCGGGTGGAGGCCCTCGTGCGCGGCACCGGCGGCGGCGGCGGCGGCCGACGGCGGCACCAGCGACGACGGCACCGTGTAGGAGCACTGGTACGTGGAGCGGCCTCCGCGGGTGCGGTCTTCGCGGATGGCTGCCGCCCGACGACAGACGGTCAGTCAGTCTGCCCGCCGGCAGCCGGCTGGCACCGCCGGCCGACGCAACGACAGACCACGGCTCGCGTCGACACATCCTGGGACGGCGCATCCGCCCGCCGGCAAATGAGGCCGCGGCAGAGCGGCCCAGTGTGCAGGCACCCACCCGATAAAGTGCTCAAGCCGGCGACCCGTTCGTGTCGCGCCGTAGCTTATCGCCGGGCACGAACTGGCCATAGCGGCAGATAATGAAACCAGCGGTACAATGACTATCGCGCTTGCGTGAAGGAAAGTGACCATGCCAAAAACACGACTGTCATTAGAATAGCGAGGCTATCGTGCTCGCCGCTCAAAAACCCTTCACGTTTACCTGCGGCGAGTCGATCCTGTACAACATGCTCACACACTTTTTAGACGGCCACAGTTCGGCGAACAGTGCGCCGGCCGTCCGCCGGCGCCTGGCATTGTCGGCCAGAGCGCGCGGCTCGTGACGGGAGGCGAGCGCGCCGGCCTTGTCGGGCGACCTCCATCTGCTGCAGCGCCGCCGCGGTTGCGCAACGGCCGGCCGACCGGGCCTGCGGCTGCAGCCGGCCCCTCCGGCCGGCCGGTCGGTTCGTTCCCACAGCGCGCGCGGCCGGCCCCGCCCCAGCCGCCACTCACCTTCCAGCTTCATGCCCATGTTAAGGCACTTCTCGAACCGGCACGCCGGGCACTTTTTGCGCGTGGCGATCGTGACGGGGCAGCTGGCGCCGCGCAGGCACACGTAGTTCTTCTTGTTCTGGACGGTGCGCTTGAAGAAGCCCTTGCACGACTCGCAGCTGAAGATGCCGTAGTGGAAGCCGGAGATCTTGTCGCCGCACACGGGACAAGGGCTGTTGATGAGCTGTTGTCGGCTGATGCCGGACTGGGCAGTCAGCGCCGAGTGCTGCGCCAGCTCGGCGGCCAGCGCCGCCTTGTCCTCGCAGCCCTCGCTGTCCGACTGGGTGAGGTTGAGCGGGCCGCCGTGCTGGCCGAGCAGGTGCTCCATGTGCCGGCCCAGCATCGGACTCTGCCGGTACAGGTGGCGGCCCTGGCTGGGCGACGCCGTCGGCGAGTACTGGCCCGGCGAGATGGGCGACGACACGGACGAGTACGAGTACTGCGAGCCGCCGTACTGCGACGCGTCCGAGTTGTTGCGCGACAGGCCCGTGCTGGGCGTGTGCGAGTACGGCGACGAGTAGCCGGAGAAGTGGCGCGCCTGCAGCGGCGACGCCGTCGGCGAGTACAGCCGGCCCGGCCGCGACAGGTCCGGCGAGTTCTGGTAGGCCAGACTGCGCGGCAGCAGGGGCGACGCGCTCGGCGTGAACGGGCCCGTGTGGTTCACCTCACAGCCAGAGTCGCTGCGCGTGGGGCCGGGGCTGCTCGGCCGCTCCGGGTCCGTCTGCGGCAGGCGGCGGTCCCGTCAGCGTCGGCCGACCGAAGACCCGGCACCGACACATGCACAACAACGAGCACGCCAGGGGCGCGGCGTGAAGAGCGAGACAGCGCCGTCCGCCGCTGCGCAGCGCTCCCGCAACACACTGCTCTCGTCGCTAACCTCAGCATCGCCCTGTCGCCATGCACATGGTTCAGTGCACCGAGTCGCGTGCAGGGCCGCAGCAGCAGCCAGGCACCACCCTGACCTCCGTAGGACCGCTCGACCCACCTTGGTGTTGGTCGAGTCTGTGTCGGAGAAGTGGTGGTGATCGGGCGCTGCGGGACTGGTCACCATCTCGTCCAGCTCCTGCTTGATCGCCTGAAACACGGACGGTGCTCGTTTGTGGGCCTGTACACGCTGACGGCGGTGGGACGCCGCCACCGCGCTGTAGGAGGCGTCACCAGCTCGGGGGGACGAGAGCGGGCGCCAGACATGACATGATGGGGCGTGGCCGGCCGGTCCCCGCACCTGCGGCCGGCTGGCGTCGCTTGTCGCAACCCCGCCGGCGGGCATATCGTATCTCGGCGCGGTGTAAATCGATACGTCGTGCCTGCAGCCCGCAGCCGCGGCCGGCGCGGCGCGGCGCGGTCCCGCGCGGCGCGGCCGGCAAAAACACGGCCACCGCACACGGCTCCGACAGAAGGCCGGCCGGCCGGGCGGGCGGGCCGGGCCGGGCGGGCTGCCAGGGCGGCGGGGTCACCAAGGCCGCCGCCGCGGAAGGTCGACCAAGGTTGGCTGGCGGCCGGCGCGGCGGCCGTGCGTGGGCCGGCGCCGCATAGTTGGCACGTCCGTCGGCGGGCGGCCGCCAACAGCCGCGCCCGACGTCGGTCGCCGACGGGCGGCGGCCGACGAGCGGCCGGCGGCGAGCGACGACCGCGTCGCCGTCCGACGGCCGCCATTATCTCGCGTCATCGCGCACCGTGCGGCCCGGCCGCCACCTTCCAATGTCATTGGCAAGGTCATCCGCCAAGGCTAGGTTCCGGTGAGCAGGCAGTTTTCGGCAGAGGGCCGGCTGTGTTTATATGAGCTAGACGTCGCCTGCCGGCGCGGCGCGTCGCTCCTGCCGTGACAGTCGGGCGCGCTCGTGTGGCGCGGGTGGGCGCGGGCGCAACACGCGCGCCGCTCTCACGCCGCGGCGCGGCCGGCGACGCGCTCGCGTGCCGGCCGACAGGAGCGCGTCACACGCGAGGCGACGGGACTGCATTCCGGATGGGCTCGGCGGCACGGCTCAGCACCTCGGGCGCTCGCCGCCGCCAGCTGGGCCGGCCGGCCGGCCGAGCGCGCCGCCACGTCCGGTCCAAGGCTGACGCGGCGCCGGCCAGCCTTGGGCCGCCACAAAGAGAGCGCGCGGCCGGCGGCCGGCCGCCAGAGGTGCGGCGGCGCGCGGCCGGCCGCTGGTCGCGCGGCGCGGTCGAGCGCGCGCACGCGTCGACACGGACTGACCAGTTTGTGTGTCTGACTGATGGCCGCCTCCAGCTGCAGACTGGCTGGGTCGCTCGGGTCCGGCTGCCAGCTCATGGGCCGGTCGGTCCGCGGCCGCTGCTCCATGCCAGCAGCCACTGGCGGCCAGCCGCCCGACACTGAAACACGCCCGGCCGCCGTTAGAGGGCACCGCCGAGCAAGACCCCGCCAGACGGCCGCCCGTGTCGACGCCAGCTGTCTCTGGACGCGAGCACGAAACAGCAGAACGGTCATCGTGTCACGTGCCCGGACCAACTGGCCCAGACCCGGTCACGCACACACACCCATTGACGAATAAGGAATTACGAGGACTTTAACAGAGGAGCTACGAATATAATATCCAAGGACTAAGTGCACTAACGGCAAGTCATACAGCAACGCTGCTTGATCTTCGACGATCAATGAGGATGATCGCAAAACGCTTTAGCATCCACACAAAACACCGATAGTTATATGTTACACCACAAATGTGCCAGGTGAAAAACATAAAACACCTCAATAGCACCACCCAACGTTGACGCCGAATGTGATGTCCCAGCGACGTGACATTATGCATGCACACGACGACCAGCTGCCAGCACATGCCAAACATGACGTAAATAGTCTACCATCAACCGGTTCTACTGTACCGGTGGCCCTGGAAAACTGCACGGGTGAAAACGTCACCGCCGCCAGGCGCAACAGGACAGAACGGGCCACGACAGCGACAAGCCCAAAGAGGGGCATTACGTCAGCCACCACCTACAACATCCTGAGCGAGCGTCGCGCCTCGGCCAAAAAATACTCTGCGGTCAAATAAGCCCCGACTGGACTGGGCCCACGCGCCCCACGTCCGTTCCAGACGGAAGACCGTTACAGCGCCGAAGCTATGCAGAAGACGCTCCGGAGGCGCTGATGGTGCAACGGAATTCCTGGCCGTTAGCTAATCGATTGCCTGAGCCAATGACCACCAGCCATTGCGGTCAAGCGGCGGCGCTGTTTCATCACGATTTACAATAGCCCAATGGGTCTGGGCTGGAAGCATTTCAACAGCTCGTCATGGCGAAAGCCCGGTCCGGCGGGAAGGGGAGGGGGAGGGGGAGGGGGACGACATTCCGCGGCGGCACACCTCGATCTCGCAGGCGCCGGCGCCGGCCGCACTTCGCAGAAGCGTGTTGGTGAGGCCGGAGTGAAGGGCCAGATATTGCGCATTTCCTGAGAGCAAGCAGCGCATGCCTCTGACAACACAGCCAACATGCGTCACTGGCAGGCAACATATGCAGGAAAGCCATTACAGCGCGGACACTCAAACAGGCAAGACACGGAACGGGAGCCTAGACCTCACAGTGGTAGGCAAGTGCTGGCTCTCGGCAGAGGCGCGAAGCAGAAACAGCCAATTCTCAGAGCCCTTAGGGCATAACGTACTGTTGTTAATAGGCTCCTCAATTCCCGGGCCCGCCGCAGCGTAGCGCTATTACCTATGCCGCTTAATCTGCACTTTGAGTCGGCCTTTGATCAAGAACGCATCGTCCCTCAACGACGGTGGACCTGATCAGAAGCCAGTGGCTTGTCAGTGCGGCCACGAGTGTCTGCTCGTACAAAGCACTGCGCCTTTTCAGCCGGGGACTTCCTCTTCTCCCAACCGGAGATGTCTCTAAGCCGTTTCTTGATCGCTCTGGGACTCGATCTTGGCCCGGAGCTGCACACCGTGGCCGGGGCTGTCACGATCCGGACCTTGCCCGACCGGCGGGGATGGCCCGAGCCGCGGCCCCTGACCGATGTCACGCTCCCCCTCCCCCCGCCCTCATACTCGTAAATAGTCGGCAGGGCCGCCGCCGCGCCGCTGCCAACACCACCGGCTACCAAGTTCGCGGCGGAAGGTCAAACAAACAGAGCGGCTTCGCAACCGGGCAGAGTACCGAGCCGCGTCTGCAGGCCTGATGCGGCGGGAGTCCGCCCCCAGCCCCTCCCTGCCAGAACACCGGACAGACCCCGGCTCCCTCGCCGGGCATCGGTGCTCGCCCGGCCCGGCAGTCAGTGATCGTCCCCGGTCGGGCCGGCGGCGATCACTCCTGACCGGTCACCCGGTGATCGCCACTAAGCGCAGTCAGTGGCCGGGGGGCCGCTCGGACGCCGACCTCCCGACGCGTCTTTCGAAACTCGTGGCGGCGGTGAAAGGCGGCGGCGGCAGGGGCTCGCTCGCGCGCGCGCGCGCGCGCGCGTCGGCCGCCGCTGCCGTGAGTCACCGACACGGCGCGCCGTGCATCCCGAGCAGCAGCGGCGGCGGCGGCGGCGGCGGCAGCGACCTTGTCCGGCCGCCGCCGGCCAGGTCCGGGTGGGGGGCCGCTGGGAAGGAGCGCTCGCGCACGGCACAGCGCTCGGTCGCGCGGAACGGCCGCCCGACCGCGGCTCCACCGCACCGCAAGCGGCAGGGGCGAGGGGCGGGGCGGGGGGCAGCACCAGCCCAGAGCCCACTGCGGGCGGCACCAGCCCAGAGCCCACGGAGGGCGGCGCCCAGCCCAGAGCCCGCTGAGGGCGGCACCAGCCCAAAGCCCACGGGGGGCGGCGACCCAATCGGGCAACAGCGCAGCCTCCAACGAGAGCGTGCATCCGAGTTGTGGCCGACTGTGCCCACTAGCGGACACCCCACTCCCGTTCGACCCGGATGAGAGGCGATGGCCGGGGGTTCTGCGCGCCCTGTCACTGAGAAATGGCGACCGGACTTCCGGCCGCCACGCATCGCCCGCAAGCCATGCAGCCGCCACGGCGCTACCACAAGCCGCGTGCTTCCACATCACAGGACGCCGTGCAATGGACGGAAGTCGGGTCTAGACGGGCCGCCGGTGCGTGCTTTTGGCGCGCGTCCTGTTGTTGGAGTGTACCAGGGCGTGTGTTCTGACAGTGGTCCCTGCCGCAGCAAGATACGGTAGTACGCGGTGCAGTGATCCCCGCAGCACCTATACGGTCGCCGCGCGATGACGGGACCCCCGGGTCTCCTGAACGGGCCGCGTGTCGCAGCAGTGGTCCCCGAGTCACCGATGAAGCGTGCGTTGGCCGTGCGCCGGCCCTTGAGCCTGCGCTACCCGTGTCAATAAGCGGTGCTGCCGTTAGGGGCAGCTCCCGAGTCTTCAAGGCTCGTGTCGGCGGCGCAGTGGTTACCCGTGGGCGTGGCAGTCTAGTCGCCTGGGATCCAGGTGCTGTGGGACGGTGACTCCTGGGTGGCCTGGGAAACGTTATGTTGTGCAACAGCGCGGTGGCCCCTGTGCCACACGCCGGCAGGCAACTGTGGCACGAAGGAATGCACGGACCCGTAGTGTACTGCGGAGGGCGGTACAGAGGTCTCTCAAACCAGGTTTCCATCGCAAGCCGACGCTGGACGCTAAGGAGCAGGCTACGCCTGTCGCATACTGCCCAGCACGCTCACCAAGCGCAACGCCCTGGCAGTACTTTCTCAACGACGTCAAATAACCACTACCTTTCAAAAACATACCGTTCAAAGGAGGCAGCGTGTGCATGGCGGCGCGACCATCCTAACACTCCCAAACGCAGTGATCTCAAAAGGGCTCGTCAGTCAGCAGCAGTCAGCAGCTTGTTCTGCCGGCCCTACGCTAATGACGCACATGTACCGCCTCTCTCTCTCTCTCTCTCTCTCGCTGGGCGCACCCCTGCCTGCGGCGCGCTCTCTCGCCACACAAGCAGGAAATGCACGCGAAAGGTCGGGTCGAGCCCACCCCACCAGGACGAAGGTCGGCTGACAAGATCCAACCGGGTAAATATAGCGCACGAGGCACACTCCCTTTTTGCTCCTTTTACGAAGACTCCATGAATTCAACCGTGTTTATGCAACTCGGTAAACAAATAAGTTAACAGCCCGCCCACACGTAACGAAGTTTATGCTGCAAAATCGGATCCCATCAAACTCTTGGCTTGTTAATCACAGGGCCTCCGGCCGCGTCGCTTCGCGGCGCCTCTTCTTGCAATGAAAACACAGCTCGCCTCACCTGAGAGGCGCCCGTCGAGACCTGGGGTCAGCGGGTTTGACAAAACCTCGCTTGACCCCAAAATCTAGCATAAGCCCGGTGATATTTTTTGCCTCAAACGGGTTCTGAGCACGCCGCCCTTAGCCGACTTTCTAACTGTGGTGAAGACTGCTGTAGTATACTGGGGGGGGGGGGGGGGAGCTGTTGGGCACTGCGTCACACTATCGAGCTGGTGGGGGGCCTGGGGGAACGTGACGCGATGCAGTTTTCCCAGATAGCCTGACAGATGTGACCGCCTGGCAGGGATCTCCAGAGGGGCTGCTTGGAATGCGCCACCGTGTACAGATCTGAGTCATCGGGGACGATGGGGCGCTACGTGGAGTCCAAAACAGTGGCTTCCATGACGGCCTGGGCCGGCCATGATCCGTTTGTATCGCTACGATGCTTGAACGTGTGGCGCTACAGCGTTGCAGTCCGTCTTCTGAAGCCCTCTCCCGCTCCTCCGAGGTCGGCGTTGGCGTGCTGGGTGTGCGGGGCACCGGCGGCCGCGCCAGTCTGTGCGCGCTAGCGAGCATGCACGACTCCTACGCCGGCACCCACCACCGTCTGGCGTGTCGGGGTCCGCTGCGGGGCCGGGGCCGGGGCCGGGGCTAGAGCCGGAGCCAGAGCCGGAGCCGGGGCCCGAGCAGGGGCCGAGGCCGGGGCCGGGGCCGGGGCCCGGGCCAGCCTGACTGCCGTCGGACGGCCGGCGTGACCCGCCCTCGGGCTGCGGACTGTCGGTGCCGCCGCTCGAGTCTGCGGCAGCGGCGGCGGTGCGCGTCACAGGCTGCGCCGCTCTGGTGACGGCCGCCTCCTCCACCCATCCAGTCTCCTGTCACTCAGGCATCATGCCGCTCACTCGTATCATCTCGTCTACTCGTTCTCTTTCCACACACCAGGCACTTACCATCCACGCCCACCATTCACTCTCCTTTCCCAGCAGGTAACCGTTCCCTTGCATCCCTTCCCTTATGCATCAAACATCGGGCATTCATCAAAGCATCTGTTACAAAGCAATAGCTGACAGATCGTTGGTCTCTTCCTCAGTACGCTCCAATAGCGTCTCCTTCAAGACGAGCTCGCGAATGATCAGTATATATACATTATATATATATATATATATATATATATATATATAATATATGTATATATATGTATATATACATATATGTATATATACATATATATATATATATACATATATATTTATCTGTATATGACACCGAGACACACACGAAGAGACACTGTCCTGACGTCCCTATCCGCTGGACACTGCGCACTACCTCCATGCTACATCAAATGGATATCACTGTTTCGCACAAGCCGGACCCACCGCACACTGATACGCAGCCCACAACACACACAATCACCCACAAAGCCGGCGCGATAGACCACCATCGCTCCGGACCACAGGTACAGACTACAAACACAATTTGTTAGCTCGCCAACCTGCCAGATCTGACTCGGCAAGAGCCCATGGGATGTTAGCCGGGCTGTGGGCCAGACTTGACGGGCTTTTGTGGTTAACAACTTTAACACGCAAAATCATGTTTTTTTTGTCAGCACTGAAGTTTTAAAACCTTCCAAAATCAGAGGGTACCGCCAAACACAACACAATAATGTGGAAATAATATTTTGATATTTTTACCACGGACCCGATTGCCAGAAACCCAGGGTGGGCATGACACCCGTAACCCAGATTGCACAACTTAAACAATTTTATGCCGGCATCGCATCAAAAAGTCGAGAAAAGCTACCCAGATTTTCCAAATTTGGCCCAACTTCATATCGCGTTAGTGAGGTGGGTCCCTGATATAAGCATAGGCATGCTCCGCTTGGCTGTTATTATCATACGCGCATGTCGACGAGGGTTCTGAGGAAGTACGATTGTCGAAGTCAGCACCCAGACTGTTTCCTATTCGTACTCGGCGTATTCGGTTAGCACGATTACAAAAAGGTGCATGATGACCACGTTCCACTTGGTCAGAATATTCCAAGGCCAATGGACTTGATTGGTGGATTGAAACATCACGTGCAGTGTAGCCGAAACGGACCGAAACTTTTCTTTGGCGATTTAAATTCCTGCGCTTAGAGAATAACTAAAACAAATACCGAGACTTGTGAAAACCATGCAAAAGCCCGCGTATCTCGCATTGTTACATTCCATCGTTGTTTAAATGCCCTCAAAGACGGGACAATCATTTCCGGCAGCTTTCTTCCTCGAGCACCAGACGACTAACTTTCGTGATGTCAACATTGAGCCCCGGCGCGCGCGCCTGACTGGAGCCAGTGCGCCAGGTCAGGGCGCCGTGTTTGTTTGCGCACGGACCGGGACGCGGCGGTAGTCGCGGTCGTACAGTAAGGGCGCGCCCCTGGGCCGGTCGGTACGGGCCTGCTGCCGCCGCTGGGAGCACAGGCCCGGCTGCCGATCGCACTGGCCGACGGCGACGCGCGCAGCGTCTCTGCTTGCAACGAGGATGGATTTTCCATGCGCGGGGTTTCATTGATTTGTAATTTGGCGCTTTCCTTTCGAAATCCTCGTGATTCTGGACCGAATGGATCATGGTGTTTGGGTAAACATTTGGCCATCAAGTATTTTTTCCGTCACGCGGTGTCTGTAATTGACACGCAACTTTCTGTCATAACTGTCAAGCGGCAGTCCACCCCGCTCCGGCCAGCTGAGGATCTCGCCCGCAAAAGCCCGCTGTGATGCCAATCTGACCCGGCATTAACCCGCAAGTATTAAGTTAAAGAGCAATCTGCATTACGCTTTTCTCTTGCTTCTAGACTCATGCGTGCAATGTGTTGAAATATGTCATCGATGACACGTGATGCACAGCCTTGTTGCCTTACACCAGCGATGTGACTACGACGGCAGTAAGACAAGCATGCGACTCATGGAATTCCTATAGTACTAAATCGCATCTTTAATTCTGTCGGACCAGTGTCAAGGTACAAATGAGAAGCAGAGTGGAATTTAAGTAACAGCCACCGCCAAAATGTACCAGAAATTCCCCCTCTTGTTTTCAATTACAAAGAGATACTGCCAAGACATGACAAGAAATACTGGATATTTCAAATTGTGGGAAGTCTCCTCAGTTCATAACACTATACACAAGTACACGAAATATACAATCCTAATAAATCGGAGACATTTTATGCGACAATGTCGCTAGAATTGGACCTTTTCACCCTGCGTATCTCACAGAAAGCCGGTATGTCAGATTAGCCGCCATGCCATAGTGCAAATTCCAGGAAAAAGTCGGGCTCTTGCACGGTGTTTGTTATCTTTCAGCGCAATCGTCCTAGCACCGCTTCTGATGTTACGTACAAGTATAGCAATAACGTCTGCCCGAGAATGCTGCCTGTCTTTTAAGTGGTATTATCCACTCAGGCAATGCCACAAATTCCGTGAGACATTGGATGCTTAGGCAATATATAGCTGGAAAGAAGTGAGCAGGACATGACTAAGGCATTCGCTCACATAGCATGCTGACTGCAAGGTTAGGAACTAAATCAAATGTTTGATTGACGTCCTACGCTTAAATGAAATTGTTGACAGAGACCAGTGTACAGATATCGGCAGAGGTGGCGGAAGCAAACCTGCACGAAACTTCAGAGACAAATATGTTAAAAATCAATGACGATCTCAGTAAAGGTGAAATGACTAGCACGTACGAGCTTCTGTTATCAAGGTCGCAGCTGGTATGTTTTTACGTGCATGGAAAAACACAGACACAGGGTGTACTCGCAGCGCAAAAAGAACACCTAAGCCTACGTGACGTCATGTATAATCTTTGTTGGACGCATTCGCACCGCGCGACACGTTTTTTGGTACCATTTGCTGAATTTACGCGACAATAACTGCGCATGCGAGACAACAGTATAATCGTCCGCCTGTGCAACGCGAACGCCTACCAGTGAAAACTGCGACTTATCCTCGTGCAACGTGTTACACGCCATTGCTTCATCCGTCAGCCGTCAGCCGTGAGACGTGACCAAAAGTACGCAGGATTGCCATATCGGTCGACACATCCCAAGGACACATAACTACCCGAGAGGAGGCATAATCTGATGCAACACAAAGGCAGGCGTATTAGCCAGGGTTAGCATCCGATGACGCACAGACGCCAGCTGACGCGCTGCGGAGAAGGGGCACAACAAATCCGGCTGAATTTGCACATGAGTCATCGCGAAGGATGAAGACGGGCTAAATCGCCAGCAGCACACAATCGAGGCCCGTCGCAGGAGCATTGCAGACGGAGGATTGGTCTCATCCCCGGGATCCGCCCAAGGACATGACACATTGACAGCACGGGACGACACTTGAGCTGGTTAGCACCACACGCGGTGCGACTGACGTAGGCCATCTGTCCTCGGCGAGGCCGTGCCCCGACCCCGAACGTGGCCGTCCGAATCGTCGGGGGCGGCCACTGACCTGCGCTGGCTCGCTGCACGCCTGTCCAAGTCTGGCGGCAGGCCGGTGAGGTGGGGCGGGGGAGGGGAGCTGGGGGCCGGCGGGGGCCGCCACTGACCTGCGCTGGCTCGCTGCACGTCTGCCGTGATCACGCTGACCGGTCGTCCGACGGCGGCGGCGGCCGCTGCCGCCGCGGCCACGTCCGTCTCCATGGCGGCGGCCGGTCCGGCCGATTCGCTAACGTCCATGGCGTTCATGGCGCCGCCGTTCACGCACACTCTGGCGCCGGCCTGTCTGCCGGTACTGCGCCGCTCTCTGCCGCGCTCAGCTGACGCGCTGGCGAGGAGTCCGTCTCACGCGGTCGGCCGGACGCGCCGGGCAGCACTGGGCGCAGGTGGGGGCAGCGCGGTCGGCCCGCTGGGCCATCGCTCTCGGGAGCCGGCGGGAACAGGGCAGCGGCGCGCCGCGCTACGGCGCCGTTCCGGCCATCGCGGCCGCGCACCTGCAACGGAGCGGGAGGTCAGCTCGCCGGCGTCGGTGCCCGGTGCCCGGTGCTCGGCCGGCAGGCCCGGGGGCCCTCCGGCAAAGCCCCGGGGCTTACGTCCCGTCGCCGTCGGCCGGGCGGACCCGTCCGCTGCGCCGGCCGGTCGGCATGACGAGAGCAGCGGCGGCCCCGCGCCGCCCCGGCAACAGCGCCGCCGACCCTCGCCCCCCCCCCCCCCTCTGAGCTCAAGGTCGGCAGCCAGGCGCGGCCCACGTGCGGGGGGAGGGGGGTCCCCGGCGGGCGGCGGCCGGCTCTCCGTCCGCCCGGCTGTCGTCACCGGCCCTGCTGATACGGGCCTGAGACGGGAGCAGCGGGACACGGCCGTGTTCGCCTGACCCCCGACCATGCCACTCGGTGTAGGCACAAGTGAGGTGAAACGACAGGGAACCGCCCTACGCACTCCCAGGAACACCACACAAGCCAATACATGCATTCATTACCCATGCGGAGCCTTAAATGTACCAGAATGACAGTAAAGAGGAACAGCCCACAGCTCTCGGAACACACGTAGTACGAAGCACGCCGGCGGGCCAGCGGTTGATTCCCGAGCAGCCGCTCGTCTGATGTCTGGCTGGCTCACTAGCAGTGACCGGCGGGACGGCGGCGGTCGGCGGGACCGACGGTCGACACCAGAAGGGCCCGTCGGAGCGCGGCCACCTCCGAACCCGACCGGCGGCGGCGGCCGAGTGGGTCGGTCGTGCGGCCGGCGTCGCGCCGCCGGCCGCGCGCTCCCGGGGGCGCGGCCGATCGAAGCGGGGGCCGTCACCCCGGCGGGCCCCTCCGACCGCCCCGCTGCCGCCGGCCGGGGCGGGGCGGGCCGCGCGGGTGCGGCACGAGCACGCCGACCACGCCGCCAATCGGCCCGCCTCGGGACCCTGCGCAGCCCCACGGGAGCGGCGAACGGTCCAGTATCAGGTTCACTGATCGATCAGTCATACAGCACGCCAATACAAGAAAGAAAACATTGCGTGAAGACATGTCGAATGCGTGCGGCGACAGGACCTTCTCCGCCCGGCTCTCGGACAACGTGTTCCTTTAGTAAGAAAGTACATCACAGCCCGTACACCACGAGCGAGGTGCCCTGCGGAGCCGGGCCCGCCGCTGGGGTGCACCGCTGCCCGCCCCCGCGCTCTGGCGACGCCCCGCGTCCCGCGACGTTCTGCGGCGCACATGACAGGGGTCAGCTGCGGCGTCACGCGGCCACGCCCGACTGCGCTGCCGCGGCGGCCGGCCTCCGCCACCAGTGACCAGCGACCACACCTGACCACCGACCGTGACCTCTTGACCTCGGTCGGCCAGGCCGAGAGGTAGCCGGAGAGGGCGGGGGGGGGGGGGAGGTCCCGCCCCTCAGAGGCGGCGGCGGCGACAACGCGGGCGGTTTTTGCGGAGCGCAGCGAAGGGACGCCAGCTGCATTTGTTCGACACCCAGGTGCTGCCGGCTACCAGGCGAGTGATCCATCCACGGGAACCGGCGGCGTCCACAGGCAGGAGGCAGGCGGCGGCCGAGGCGGTCCAGGCCGTGACGGTCCAGGCCGTGACGGTCCAGGCTTTGGAAGGCCGCGGACCGGAGAGCGCGGGGCAACGCACGAGGGGGAGGGGGCGTGACCGCACGTGCCACGGCCCAGCACGTCAGCGACGAGTGCGGGGCGACTGCGCCGCACGTGGCTCGGACACCCAAAGGCCAGACCGGTGACATTGTGGTCGGATGGCGGCAGGGGCAGGTCGATCGATAGCCGGGGGTGGCGGGGTGAATCAGTCGCCCTCCCCGCCCCGCTCAGGGGTGGACAGCGACCCGCCTGACTCACTCCCCCTCACTCACTCGCACAGGCGAGAATCGATCCGGGGACGGCCCTGAGTCAGCCGGGCGGCGGCGTCCCCCTGCCCCCGCCCACAGGCCCGACGGGCAGCAGACGCCGCGGCCCGAGTCGGCACGCGGGAACGCCACGGGGCACGGTGGCGTATCGAAGCGACTCAGTGGGACGCGTCACAGCCTGGAGTCGACGGATCCAAAAAGCTGCCAGCTTCCTAGCGCCGACCACCAAAGGCACACAGCGTGATCAAAACTTCGTGGCACAGCAGCACTTTGTCACTGCCAGCAACTCGGCGCATACGCCGAAGACCGCTCAGGTCGCGTCTTATGACAGCCGTGACGAAGTCCATATTCTGACTTCAACGACAGTGACACCAAAACATAACTGTAGCGGCGAGCTCCGGTGACAGAACACCGCTGCGAGAATGGCCGAACCGCACGACCCGTCGCCAGATCCTGCCGCGGCAGAGCCAGTTGTAAGGAGCACATGACCCGGTCCGGACCCGTTCGCCGACATTCGCGCACGGTTTGGACGAGCGCCGGCGAGCCAGCGCGGCCGCGGGTGGCGCCGTCCGCCAGGGGCGTCGGCCCGGCGCCGCCGGCGTCCGAGCCGCGCCGACCGTGACGGCCGTGGTATTGGAAAGTGTCGCAGTCGGCGGGCGGGCGGCCAGGGCCGCGGTTCGGGCGGCAGCCTCCCACGGGGCGGCGCCGACTGTTGCTCCCGCTGACGGCGGCGGCCGCGGCCTGGCTGAGTCATGGCCAGTCGGCGGCGGCAGCCGCCGCCACAACCCGTCCCCTGATTCATCCCGCTGCCGACTGACTCAGGACGCGGCCGTGTCGGCTCGGTCGCGCCGTCCGCCGCACTATCGTCGCTTTCGGACCCCTCCCCCTTCGGCGACCTTTGCCTGCGCGCCGGCGACGTGAGTCAGCAGCGGAGTGGGGGGGGCGGGGTGGGGCGCACCTCGGACCACGGCCGCTCACACGCACCCCGGCCGCTGCGGCCGGCGGCCGGCGGCCGCCGTGCGGCCTCCGCGCGGCATTCCAGGGGAGTCGGCAACCAGTTTGCGTGGCCGGCGGCGCGGAGTCGGGAGGAGGGCCGCCGCTGCTGGCGCGGCGCGCGCGGCTCCGGCGGCCGCACGGCGCGGTCCGGAGCTGAAGGAACGTGACAGCCACATCTGCTGTCTGCTGCTGCCCACCCGAGCACGGGACCTTCCGGGAACCGCGCTACAAGGTCGCCTGGCTATGCCTCGCGCATGGCTGCCTGAAGACAGTGTGCTTCTCCTCGCCGCCAATGGACGCTCGTCCAAAGCTGCTGCTCACCGCGGCGCTTCAACGCTCAGCAGCGCGCCGCCATTGCAGCTGGAGCGGCCCGGCGTCCCCGGCGCCAGCCATGAGCGCAGCCGGAGCGCGAGCCGCCGGCTGGTCGCGGCACGTCCGGCCAGCCCAGCCCTGTCAGCCCGGCTGCCGCGCACGGGGCCCGCCCGTGCCCGGCCCCGGACGTCATTTCAGCGGCGGCACCAGGCGGGCGCCTTCAGTCTTCAGCGTTCCGCAGCCGCCAGACAGCGAGCCAGCGATCCCAACGACCACAAAGTTATTCGGGATCCCCAACCGCCTGGCTTAAGGTCTCCCCGACCTGTGACGCCCGCGACGGCGTGGGTCCCCTCCGGCCCACCGCCGTGGTGATCTCACCCCACGCTCGACACGGCGTCGGCCGCCACAGAAACCCCACCGAAGACCGACTCCGGCCGGAGGCCGCGGCGCCGGCCGCACACCGCGCCGGCGGCGGCCCGGCCCCGGCGCGGCCACACACCGCACCGGCCACGGCACGACGGCCGGCAGCCGTCGGCCCGCCGCCCGACAGGTGATGGCGACGGGGGTCGGGGTCGGGCTCTGCCCGCCCGCGCCCGTACACACCGCGCCGTCCGGACTCCTCCAAGGGCGTCCTTTGAGACCCGATCGGGGCGAAGCCAGTAGCGGACGGGCGCCGTTCAAAGACCCTCAGAGTGTGCCGCACCCCGTCTGGCACGTGCGCAGGCGGCGGACGTTCAGTCGCACCTCGCGCCGAACAAAGGGCATTGATTGGGCGGCGGGGACGGCCTTGGGCGCGGCTGCCGCCCATCTGCCCTGGCGCCGGCGGAAGGAGGGGCGAGGGTCGGCGGGGCCCGGCCCGTTACTCGGCCGACGAAGGGCCGGCCGGCCGGCCACCAGCAGCGGCGCCGCGCCGACCACAGCGCCGCCGCCGCCGCCGCTCAGCTCTCCGACCGCCGCCGCCGGCGCCGCTGAACGCCGGCCGACGCTGCTGGGACACCGCGGACGGAGCTAGCCGCGCGGAAGGAGGAGCAGAGACGCCGGATTCATGGCGGCGCCTTCAGACGCCAACGAACGGATGTAACGGATCAACACAGACGCAAACCGGGACAGGCAGTGTTTACGTCCGCTTCACGGAGTGGTACGAAAAGCAGCGCAGACCGTTTGGTACGGGGAGTGAGGAAGCCGCATGCCAGTTGCCTGCACTGGAACGAAAGGACCGCGGCGTGACGAGCGAGTTTTGCGGGCCACCCAACGCCTGTTGAATGGAGTTCTGAAAACGGTGTAATAGGCTCCAAACAGGTCTTTCTGCTTTACAATACAAAAATTGCCGTTGCATTTCGAGCCGCGCTGATTTTGGTACTTAGTGTTCTCGAAGAAATCCAGTGTGGTTGGCAACAAAGCCCGCTCTTACACAACACATACCTCTCGAGCAGCACCTTGAGTTGCGTCATGAGGATGTGCTCGAGCTCCGAGCGTATGAAATCCGGTTTGACATCTGCTTACTGCAAAGGCCTTCGCCTAAAATCTCTGACTTCCATTGAGATCTGCTGATTAGTGCAGGTAACGGGCTGATGCCGTGTCCGTGGACAGCCACGAGTCAGCGTCCTCCGGCCGGCCCTCGGAAGACCGTGCCATGCCGTGCCGCGAGCCGGTACACGGTGGGCTTCAAGGTAGCGGTCCGCGGCCAGTCGCCCGACGACCACACGATTCGGTCGCCGCAGCGGCGCACAGCGGGCCAGCCGATCCCGCCGGCCGGCTCGAAAGCAGGCGGTGAGAGGTGTGCCTTCCAGCCGCACACTGGGCTAGTAAACCGGCATGGATTAAACATCACGGCTCA